AAAAAAAAAAAAAAAAAAAAAAAAAAAAAAAAAAAAAAAAACCACCTACATTGACCCATCTTACTTTGTTGAAGCAAATTTGCAGCATTTAAATTCATTCCGTGATAACCAGGAAGGGGTCCTAGTCCTCCCAACATTTGTTGAAAAGGATTTGACATGACTCCTGCATTCCCCCCTCCTTGAGCACCTGGTCCTGGAATCATTTCAAATCCTGGTGATGTCGTTTTTGTTACTAAACCACCAGGAAACCTAGGAGGCAACGGTTGCTGAATTGGTGGTACTAAAAAACCCAAAACCATTAAAATATTTATTCAAACTTTTTAAAATCTAAAGATTAAAAAAAAAAAAAAAAAATTACCTTGAGGGTAACTTAAATTTAGACCCAGTAGTTTATCCAAACCTAGAAAATATAAGTAATAAATGTAATTGAATAATTTAATACAAACTCTGGTAAAATTATAATTGCTTACTTGTACTGGGGCCGCCTTTTTTCGCTTTGATGTCTTTCACAGGCTTAGAATCTCCAGTCAACCTTTCTTCAAGTAAACTTGTTATTCCTCCTTTATGATTTGAAGCATTAACTGCAGTTTCTAAATCTTTTCCTCCCCCTGTAAATTACATTAAATTAAATATTGATTTTTAAATGTAAAAAATGTAGTAGTAAATAACAGTTAAATACCTGGAACTTCAATTTTGTCAGGATCTTCAAAATCTGAATCTGATTCAGAAGACACATCTGGGTCACTTTCTTCATCTTTGCAACCCTTCTTATTATCACCCTGAAAATTTTCAAAAGCTATAATTAAAGTGTTACTAAAACATTATGTGTTATATTTAAAGGTACAAAACTGTTTTTGACAAATCAATTTTTTCTAAAAAAAAAAAATTTACACATAGATAAATATTTAAATCAGACATATTATTTTTTCCTTAAAATCGAGCATAAATATTAAAAGGCTAGTCGTTATTTAATATTGTTTACGATGTGTATAAGTAATATCCGGCTACTTGTAAAAATATTTATATGCAATAAATGTATCGAAATGGTATACGAAATGATTAAAGATTATCAACTAAACATAATTTACATTTGAGAATCAATTTCCAATATTGCTAAAAATGTATAAAATTAAAAAAAAAAAAAAAAAAAAAAAAAAAAAAAACCTAAGATTCGCCAAGATAAAAAATCTTAGCTGTTTAAACAAAGATTTCCCTATTATATTTAAAATTTAAGAAACTAAGGGCGTTGGCTCATTATTGATTAAATTTTAGGCAAACTATTTAGCTCATTCACTTAAATAATAATAAAAAAATTTAAAATTTTATTAAAACTAAAGTTTAACAACAAGCGGGAAGTCTCCATTTTAGAGCCTAAAACTAAAAAAAAAAAACAAAAAAAATTTGCTTTTTTTATTGATTAAATAGGCGTTAACCTTACGAAAATTCAAATCAAAATACTCAATCACTGTTAAAAAAATGTTTATTTAAAAAAAAAATTAAAAATCATTGAATATTACTCACAGTTTTTTTAGATCTCGGCATTTTAATTCAAAACACCTTAGAAAAAATTTAACGAATGCGTCCTACCAACGCCATATTGAAATTACCCACAATTCCCGGTCTGATCAATGCCAACGTAAAAAATTAAAAAATTATAAATATAGAAAAGTTTAAGTTTTTAAGCCGTTGTAGCGCAATGTTTAGCTTATGAGTAAACACTTTAAGGCCTATTACAGCGGTAAAATATAAGTGTTTCTAAATCGCATTTCAGTGTTCTTCTTAATTTAAATACGGCACCAAATTATACGATTTCTCATTTTAAATGAAACCTTAACGCTGCTATTGAATGCGCAAGTCATATAAACAATTTTTTTTATTCAAGTTTTACATTTTTTTAAATTTTTAGTTGGATACCCCCTCAGTGTTTATTTAATGATTGCAAACGTAGTGAGTTTGCTCAATGAGAATAAAACAAGTTTTCCCGTACTTTTTCTCGTAAAAAAAAAAAAAAAAATCTTTTTCCTTTATGATCAAAAATTACCTCAAAATTTATAAATTATATTTCACCATATTGATTTTATTTTTTTAAAAATCCTACTAATTAATATTATTTTTTAACAGTCGAATTGCTTATCGTAAAAAATATTATTGTTCTAGAAATAATTTTTTTGTTGCAACGCAAATTTACATTAATTTAAAAAAAAATGTTTTCAATTTAATTTCATACAAAAGTTTAGAAAATGAAAACAAAATTTAATTTAAAGCTTTTATTTTCATCATCGTAAAACAATTTAACTAACCTTTTCATCAAGAATTTATACTACAAAATTTATTATTATTATATATCTTTTATTTTGTGACTTTACTACTTAAAATTCTTATTTTTCCTTTAATAAATTTCAGAGCAATCAAGTATTATAAATTTTTTATTGTTTTTAACCAGTAGAGTTAAATTTAAATTATATTCTAATTGATATAAGTTAACCTTTTTATTTTTTTATCAGCAGATGTTAAGTATTAAAAGACTTTAAATAATAAGAGTAAAAATAATTTAATAAAAAAAAAAAAATTTACATTGTGCTCAATTGATGAAATGCTAATTATTATTCTTAAAATTTGTTTAATGAATATGCATTTTTAAATTTAATACAATGTTTAGTAATGAAAATTTCAATTGACAATTTACATGATTATGTATTTTAAAATTAAATCATTTTTAAACCTTAAAAAAAAAGGTTTTTACATTTAATTTTTTTAAAAATTGCTTTGTAGATGACATAAAATTCCGATGATTGATTGGAAATAATTATTCTATTAATGTAATTAAAGTATTTTGTGAAAATTAATATTAGTAATATAAATAAAATCAAAAGATTTTCAAATTACAGTTAAAAAAAAATGTCTAGTTTAATAAAATAAACATTCCCTTATTAAATTTTTTAACGAAATTTACTTTTTATTCATTTTTTTTTTTTTTTAAAATATTTGCGTATCATGTATACCAATCATAAAAAAAATTTCTCAAGCCGCCAACATAACAAATATATCGATTTAAATTAGTACTAACAACTTATGCAGTTAGGAATAATAGTAGTTGAAATTTTAAAAAATGAATTCAAAGAAAAAAAAATCAGGATGTATTACATCAAGTCGTAAGAAAAAACCTAAAAATTCAAATGGAAATTTAATATCATCTCCAACGGTAACAAAACCTTTAGAAGCATGGTTAGAAAGAGTAAGGTTAGTAATAATATTAACAACAAGTTATAAATTAATATAAATATTTGAAAAAAATTTAAAATTAAATGATTGAGTATATAAATTTCGGTTTATTCATGATTTTGTAATTAATTTGTTTTTTAAATTTTTAATTATAGTACGGTATTGTAACAAATTAAATTATTTACTATTCCAGAAATTAGGCTTTAATTTTCTGTTTTGCGAGTAATCTAATCTTTGTAGCTAAGGCATTTTTTTTTAACGATAAAAGGTTTTTTTAATAAATTAATTCAAAAAATATTTTATTTATTGATTTGGAAATATAAAATAAACTTAAAAATGCTACTTGCGGTAATTCAGAAATCGCTATTTAAAATATTTAACTTAAAATCAATTCTTTTTTTCAATTGTAATTTTAATTCATCAAAATTTTTCAGTTCAAAATTTAGATTGTAAATTAAATTTATATTGCATTATTATTATTTACAATTTATTTTAAGGTATAATTTTGTCTCATCATGCAAACTATAATTAATGTATTATGCACAGGAATTTGATGGATAAAGTGATAGGAATCAAGTTTGATTTTAACATTTGATTTATGTTTTTTTTCAGTTCTCCCATAGAAAAAAGTTCCAATGACATTAAATATTCTTCTAATGAACTGACGGAAAAAAAAGAAAATTCTTTAAAAGCTATTAATAATACTGATCAGTGTTTAAAATATACACCAGAAAAAAATAAGTCACAATCTAGAAATTGCAATACTCTCAGTGAGAAATTTCCTAAAAATAATCTTAGTCGAAATCATAAAGTCACTGAATATTTTCCCGTTAGAAGAAGTGTGAGAAAAACAAAAAAGACTGTACTAGAAGAAAAACAAAAAAATTTAGAAGAATGTGTTTTATCTAAAAGAGAAGATGGACTGAAGGTTGGTTCAATTTGTATAATTATTATATTTTCATTTGCAACATTACGTATTCATTAGTTGACATTAAAATTTTTTTTGAATAGGTTGTTCACTTTGAGGGTAAAGGAAGAGGTGTAGTTACTACAAAAAAATTTTATAAAGGAGAATTTGTCGTCGAATACTCTGGTGAATTGATTGATATGATAGAAGCTAAAGTTAGAGAAAACAATTATGCAAAAGATCAAAATACAGGATGTTATATGTATTATTTTAAATACAAAAACATTAAATACTGGTATGTTATTGATATTGATAACTTTTTTAAGCAGCCATTATTTTTTTGAAATCATAGATTGTTAAAAAAATAATTTTTCAATAATATTAACAGTGTTGATGCGACTGCAGAATCAGGACGATTAGGAAGGCTTGTTAATCATTCTAGAAATGGAAATTTATCGACTAAAATAATATCAATAAATTCCACTCCTCATTTAATATTAGTAGCAAAAGAAGATATAGAATTTGGTGAAGAAGTTTGTTACGATTATGGGGATCGAAGTAAAGAAAGTTTAAAATATCATCCATGGTTAGCTTCTTGAGCAACGTAAATACCCGTCATAGGATTCAATTTTTTTTTTTTTTTTATACATAAAAACAATTTAAGTAAAGGATGAGACATTTTTATTCATTCATTCATGCATTCATTCACTACAGTGTGTTTTTAAGTGGCTTACGAATTAAAAAGACTATTTATATTTAATACAAAATGTGTTCCCAATCAATAATTATTCATTTAGAAAAAAAAAAATACCAAAGCAGTATTAGTAAATATTTTTTTAAAATTAAAAGAGATAAAATATTATTTAATTTAATTCATAATTAATTTATTAAAAAGAATCTCATACGTTCATGGATGAGAAAAAAGGCAGTCATTATTATTATTATATTAAATATTGTTGGCTTAATTTGTGCCAATTGCCAATATTATTAAAATTTTATATTAATATATATATATATTATTATTATTTATTTTATTGATAATTATATATCTATCTCATTGATATTTTATGCATTCAGACCAAATGCCTTATAGCATTTTTTTATAAGTTAAATTTTTGTTAATTGAATTTTTATAATAACAAATAAGTTTTATAATAAATAAATAAAGAACAAATTTTTTTTTTTTTTTTTGTGACACAGTTATTTTCTTTGTTTAAAATTTATTTAAGAAAAGGAAAAAATTTAAAATATTGTATAATTCTTTGTAGCTCTACCTATTATATCAAATTGTTTAAATTAGCTACCATTTATTTATGTAATTAATTAATTAATTAAATGGATTTCTTTAAAAAAAAAATTTAAAGTTAAATATTTTTAATTTCATTTTATTATTATTATTATTATTAGAAAAAAAATTTTAATTACATGAATTTTTTTTTAAATAAAATCATCGAATATTTTATATATATATATATATTGATTGCTTTATAACTTATGTAAATTTATTTTTATTTATAATCGACAAGAAAAAAATATTTATTTTAAAAACAAAATTTGCCTGTTATAAAAAATAATAATGAAACCATTTTTTTTTTTTTTTTTTTTTTGTTTTTATTAAGTTTTTAAGAATTAGAAGAGAATATTCTTGTAAAGTATTCTTTTTAATAATAATAGTTATAGAGTAAAACTGCTTTTTTTTAAGTATGTAATAATTCTAAATAGCTTATTTATGTAAATAGAAATTAAATTATGTGATGCCCCTTTTTTAATAATAATAAATAATTGTGACATGATATTCTTTGTTAATATCTCAATATATATACATTTGTAAATCGACATTTCCACAAACTTATATACATATATATATATTATTTAAATTATTATTATTATTAGTTTTATTTAAAAGTTTAAATTTTAATCGACTTGTAATAAAAAAAATTATTATTACAGTTTGTGGCAATGTTTTTTTTGTCATTATTAATAATTAAAAAAATGAAAAAAATTTACTCGAGTATGCATGATTTTTTCTATTTTTTGTAGACTGACTGATCTAAGCCTTTCATTAAGGTATACTATAAAGGCTTTTAAATTATATTTAAAAAATTTTCAATTCTGTTTAATAAAAATTTTATTTTTTGTTTTGATATAATATTCTTAAACTTCACATATTTGAAAAAAAATATATATCATGAGTTATTCGAAAGTGTATTTATTATAATACTTGTAGTAGTAAATTTTTTTCATTATAAAGACTGGAGAGAAATAGAAATAACTTTTTTTTTTAAATTTTTTGTACTTATTAAATATCTTTGTCCCCCTTGGTAATTTTTTTTCCATTCATTATTATTATTAAAATACAAACTGTTTTGCCTAATTAAATGTTGAAATAATATAAAAAATTATTAAAAAAAAAAAAAAGAGTTTTTCATTGTTATATCGATTCCTATCCTTATTTATATAATTTTATGTTATGGGCTTGACTTATTTTTTGAATTTTTAATCTTTTATTATAAAACTATCTCAAAAAGTAAAACCTAATTTAAAACCTTGAAACCTACTTTTAAAATTTAAAAGAAATCTAAAAAAAAATATTTTAAAAGAGAAAATCTCAACTAAATTTGAAATAAAATAATCTGTCAAGTGAATAAAATACTAAATCAAACCGTTACCGGCTCCTTATATAACAAAATATACTTATTTTTGAATTGATTTCAATCAAAACCGACATTTTGATATACACAATCATATAAATTTTTATTTTTTCAACTATATTATTAAAATTTTAAATAAATTTTAATAAAAAAAAATATTAAGAAAAATTTTCTTTTGAAAAATTTATAATCTGTCAAATGAAAGTTAAACACAAAGTTTTTTCCATTTACCATTCAATTGGAAAAAATTTTATTTTACTTACATTTTTTTTTCAACTGTTATTTCATAATTGAAATGAAATCCAAACATAATAATAAAATAACAACCGAAAACAACAAAAAAAAAAAAATTTTTAGAGAATAAATCGGTAAAAATATTTAAATTTTTAACGAAATTTTATTTTGATTCAAAATTAATATTACGTATGTAAACGTTACGTGTTTTGTTATCTCTGCTACTACTTGAAATCGAATCCAAATATTTTAATATCTTAATTTTTTTTTGTAAGTAATTTTAATATTTTTAATTTTAAAAATTTTAAATTATTTTAAATATTAATATGTTTTTTTTTTTTTTTTTATTCAAACATTAAATTCAAATTAAATAAATTTTAATTTTAATTCGTAGTATTGTGTTATTTAATTCTTAGTTAAATGGCTAACCTCAAAAGAAAAGAATTCAATCCGGTCGATTATGGATTACAACCGTTATTTCGTTTGACAAATTATGCCGAATTAAAAGGATGAGGTTGCAAGGTTCCTCAGTCGATTTTAAATAATTTACTTGAGGAATTTCAAAAAAATGATGGCGATAAAGATGATACGGGTTGTAACAGTTCATCAAAAATTGGAATAGGATTAGATTCAGCAGTTATTCCAATTAAAGATACTAAATTTTTTTTACTTCAAACATGTGATTACTTTTATCCAATTGTTGATGATCCCTTCATGATGGGCAGAATTACTTGTGCAAATGTTGTAAGTGATTTATTTGCAATGGGAGTAGTAAAAATTGATTCACTGCAAATACTACTTAAAAATTCCACAGAAATGAATAAAGATGAAATAAATGTTATAACACCTTTAATCATTAATGGTTTTAAATTTGCCGCTTCTGAAATCGGTTGCAAAGTTCATATCAGTACAGTTATTGAAAACCCTTGGTGCACTATTGGTGGTGTTGCGACATCAGTGTGCTTATCAAATGAATTTATCATGCCTACAAATGCTCAAGTTGGAGATGTGATAATTTTAACTAAGGCATTGGGAACACAAATAGCTTGCAGTGTTCATCATTGGATTGATGTTCCAGATAAGTGGTCAAAAATAAAAGACATAATCAAGAAGGAAGAATTAGACAAGTTATTGCAACAGGCAATAAATTCAATGTCTCGATTAAATATGGTTGCTGCTAATTTGATGCACAAATATGATGCTCATTCTTGTACAGATGTCACAGGTTTTGGTATTTTGGGTCATGCGCAAAATTTAGTCAAATTTCAAACAAACAAGAATTTAAAATTTATCATAGATAAGTTACCTGTATTTCAAAATGCAAACATTATAGCAAAGGCATGCAATATGTCAAAATTAGAAAAAGGAATATCTCCAGAAACATCAGGAGGGTTGTTAATTACAATGAATGAAGAAAATGCAAAATTATTTTGCAAAGAAATTGAAACTATTGAAAAAGAAAAAGCTTGGATAGTAGGTCGTGTTGTCGAAGGAAGTGGTACTGCTGAATTATCTACTGCTCCTGAAATTATACAAGCAATTATTAACAGTTAAAATTATTTGTTTTTACATCAAAACAATTTCAGTTCGTTACTTACCAAAAAATAATAATAATAATTATTCAATCTTGTTATGTTAATTTTTAAAATTTTGAAAAATTTGGTTTATTTGCATTAACCCATTGAAAGAATAAAAATGTGAAAACCTTTTTAATTTCTGTTTTTTTTTTAAATTATCGTAATTTAACAAAACGAATTCTCAGTTTAATTTAAAAATTTTTTTACATTAAATATTTTACTTTCATTTTTTTATTAGAAACTTATGATTAATTAAAGGCAACTCAATTTTTGAATCTTTAATTATGATGTTTTATTCTAAAAAAAAAAAAATGAATAGTAAAAAATATTTATGTAAAATTATTTTAATATTTCTATGTATGTATCCAAACATTTATTTCCTCGATAATTAATATAGTCTTTTAGTTCAAATTTTTAAAAACAGTGCAACTATACATATAGTTTAATAATGCATTATAAATAAACCTAATATTTATTATAAAATAAAAAAAAATTAAATTAAATATTATTTACATGGGCAATTTAAAAAAACTTTTTTTATACGTTAATAAATTTTAATTTTGAAAACAGATTTTTCAATTATTTTTTTAAACGTTTTTTGAACTTCAACGCAAAGAAATTCATTCACGGACATCAATTCCGAATTGCATTCGTCGCTGAAAAAATAACAATTTTCATCATTTATTTTACTAATATTTAATTGATCGCCTAAAGATGCTTGAGACACGCAAACTCGTCCTATTTGCATTAGTAAAGAAATAGTGTCTTCTGCCAATGGCGGGAAAGCTTCGCAAATGCGAACCAACGATGGTAAAACGGGCCCGAATAATTTCGGTCTGATGTCACTTAATAATACTGAAACGATAAATTAAAATCAATTTTTACGTTATTGATATCCGATCGGATTGGAAGGAGTACTTCCGTGATTTATTTTGAAAATCTCCATACCTGATAAAAGGGTAGATAGTGTGTTTATGGCTAATCGTGCCACGCTCAATGATTTAGGAAGAGCATATTGGACACTTAGATGAGATACAAGATCAACGGCGAATACTTGTTTTTCAAGTGACGGCTGCCTTAATAGTTCAGGTATAAAATCCAAGCATATGTGCATCGAAGGTATTCCCTGAACGGTTATCGGTAACAATTCTCTTGGGTAACCTTGAAAATGCACTAATTTAGCTAACGCGGGATCACTTATAAACATTTGATGTAAGAAGGAGCAGATGAGGCTCCTGACTTCTTGCAGGGCCAATAATTGTCCAGGTTTGGACCTATCATCTTCGGTTTCTAAACAACTTTCAAGTAATATTTGAACTGCTAAACTTTCCTGGGCTGATATCAAAGCGAGCCTTAACTCTTCCCGTTCGCTTTCGCAAGTCAATTGTCCCGTACGTTCCGTAAGTGGAGTATCGAGTATGTGTCGAGCTAATTGGCATCGGGATGCAGCAAGAGATGTTTGTAGTACTCGTAAAATTATAGCAAGACCGCTTGCGCATCTAAAATAAGAAGAAAAAAAATGATAAATATTTTTTTTAATCGTTTATAAAACGTATCGCACAACAAAAATAATAATAATAATAATAATAATCACCTGAAAATTCTTTGGTCGCATCTCAAAACTTGTAAAGGATCTATGGCTATGTTTTCTTGCGTCAAAGACACAGCATATTGAATGCTTTCCACCGGAAGCAAAGCATTTATTGTCATGACCCATAAAGATCTTGGAAGAACTGTATTCAGTCTTAGCCAACATTGTTTGTACAAATCTTGAACGTATTTCGGAACGTTTTCGTCCAAAATCGTTCTAAAATATTTTGTAAATAAACCGGCGTAGGGCCAAACATCCGTCGGCCTCATTTTAATTAACTTTTTCAATATTCTACCCGTTCTTGATGGATATACGTTAATTAATTGAAAGGCTGATATATTAAAAAAAATAATAATAATAATAATTAATTCTTTTTAAACCAGTTAAAACAAAAAAAAAAGAAAAGTTTTACCTTCGGATATTGTGCTTTCTAAAATACTATTTTGAGGTACATTTGATTTTAAACTTTCAACGGAAATAATTTCATCATCTAACCAATCTTCGACAAGTGACAGATGAGGAAAATGAGTCGCCAATAATTTTAACAAAGAAGAAAACAAACCTAAAAAAATTTAATATTATCATTAAAAAAAAAAATTTATCATTTTTTTTTTTTTTTTTGTTAGCAGAAACATTTCATTTTTTACCCGCATAACTGCTTTGGTCCTTTTGTGCTTGTTGCAATAAATATTTAATTGGAAGCTCCGACATAAATTCACTCGAATAACTAAGAACGTGTTTACCGGCTGATATAAATGCCGAACTATTAGCCAAACGAGTATCTTCGTATAATAATAAATAGTATAATAGTAGGAGTTGAGAAGTTAAAGAAGGTTTTGTGCTCACTTCTGAATTATTGGATAAATCATTATCCTCATCCATTCTTTCATTGCAACGATTTGTAAAATTCTAAAAACATTAAAATTTGTACTTTAAGGATAAAAATCAAGAAATTTGAACGATTTACATACAGGGTATGATTGGACTTGATGTAAACAAAAAAAAAAAAAATTTACATTTTTTAAAGTAGATTTGCTGTCAAATTGACTACCGAATACGGAATTTTGAAAAACTCTTTTGATTTCATCTTCGCTCAGAGGTTGATTCGTATTTGTTTGATCGTATAATTTCGAACTCGGAGGAACCAATATTGAATTTACGTAAACTTCGATCAAAGCAGGTAAAACCGGATGAAGCGGAGCAACGCTATTACATATTTGCCTGAAACATTAAACAATTATTTACTCTGAATGAACTTTTTTAAAAGTATTTTGCAATAATAAGTAATAAAAAAAAAAAAAATTACTTGTATATCCAATTTTTAATCGGAACTCGATGTTTTGCAAAAGCTCTACTTTTTAACAATTGGTGTATGCAATGTACCGGTAAAAAACCAGACACGCCCGCATGCAAATTCGGAGTAACGGGTACTTTAACAGCATGTGATGTAACAACCTAGAAAATTTTTTTTTTTTTTTTTTTTTTTGGTGAAATATTTTACAGATTATAAATCGGTATTCATTCATCTTAATTAATTTTAACGTTACTTGTTCGGTAAAAATCTCTTGTGTAAATATTTGTTTAAGTCGAGCCATATTGTTTGATCGTGATTGTACTTTCATTCCTAACGTCGCGCAAACTAAATCGCAAATTGCTGACAATTGATTACTATGAAAGTGTATTGCCATTAGCAAAAGCATTTCGCCAAAGGATGCAGAAACACCGGAAACGCTAAAAAAAAAAAATCATTATAATAATTAACGTAAAAAATTTCATATATCGAAATGAAATTTTTTTTTTTTTTTTAAATGTTACCTTTCAAAATAGGCTTCTCCTTTGACAAGCCATTGAACCCAGGCCACAGATTTGCGTTCGTGTTCAGATGTTGCAATTAATGACGGACATGCGATTAGCATGCAAAGACCAAGTGATACAAACCTAATTCCGGCAGAAGTTGGAGGAGGTTTGGATGTTAGTAATTGAACCAACAACGAAACTTCATCATCTTGAAATCTAAAGAAAAAAAAAAAAAACTCATTTAGTTTTTATACAAATATTTAAATCGAAACAATAATAAAATATTAATTAAATATTTATGATAATGGGTCGATGGAATTTTTATGCATTTATATCAGGGTTCTAGTTTTTTTTTTTTAAATATTTTTATCTGAAGCTTACAGGAGGTCTTTAAAAACACGCACACAACATATTTGATTATGATCATTTAAATAAAGATTGTAACGTGTATCAGACTCTATTGAAGAAAATGTTACATGTTTTGACAAAATATAATAAATAATAACTTTTTTAAATTAATAAATAATTAAATAATCGGTGTATTTTAATTTAAGTGAATACTACATTTTAAATAAAATGTGTTGAATGTGTTGAATCATTTTTTAAATTATATTTTTAAAATAATTCATTGCTTTCACTTAAAAAAAAAAAAAAAAAAAAATTTACCAAAAATATTTAAAAAAAATTTTTTTTTTTTCATTTGCCTTAATTAAGGTCGAAGTTACGATTAAATACATTGTGACACTTAAAATGACCCAACGGTTACAAAATTGATTTCATTCAGTAATTTTTACAATTATTTACTGGCAAATCTGATTTATTTGAAAAGATCACACAATTACACAACATTTCACACTAAATAAACATATAAATAAATTATTTTTAATTTATTTTCTGTTTATATAAATACATTTGATAATTATTCAATAATTAATAATGATTGGATTGCAAAGAATTTTAATAAGAAGATATCAAACAAGAGCTGGTGTTTTTGGTTACATACCAAAACCCCGTGAACAATATAAGGTACCAGATGATGCGTTAAATTTGAGAGCGAAAAATAGCAATTTTTACAGGTATTTTTTTTTTTATTAAAATTTAATCATCAAACTGAAACCGTAGGTCAAGTTTTTAACTTGAAAAATGTTATAATTCGTCTAACGTTTTTTTTTTTTTTTTTTTTTTGAAAACAAAATGTCTATATTATCTTCTTTATTTTAGATTAGTTTCAGCTTATCGTAAATATGGTCACGTTAAAGCTAATATAAATCCGATTGCTTTGTCAATAGTTGATGAAATTCCAGAGATCGAACCATCTTATTACTCACTCGAACCTGAACAATTAGTAGATTTCAACGGTATTCTTGGAATGAAAGAAAAAAAATCAGGAACCGTTAAAGAAGCGATAGAATTTTTAGAAAAAACTTATTGCCGTCAAATCGGATATGAAATTTCTTATTTGCCCACGGAAGAATACGAATGGATGTCTGAACAAATAGAAACGATGGATCCTTTTCCGACATCGAAAGAAATTATTCTGATGGAAGAAATACTTAAATCTCAAATATTCGATCAATTTTTGGCAATAAAATTCAGCACTTTAAAGAGATACGGAGGCGAAGGAGCAGAAAGTATGATTGCAGTTTTTCATCAAATGCTTGAATATTGTGAAAAACACTCCATTACCGATGTGGTACTAGGTATGCCACATAGGGGTCGACTTAATTTGCTAACTGGTACGCTAAAAACTCCCCCTCCATATGTATTCAGGTACCCGTCAAAAAAAATTATTAAAAAAAAAAAAAAACTAAATTAAGTAAAAAAGAAATTTTAGGACTCTTTACTAACAGTTAATAACACACTTACCAGAAAAATAAAAGGCTTGCCGGAATTCAATTCATTAGTAAAGGCCACGGGAGATGTTTTGAGTCATTTAACTTGTTCAATTGATATCGGATCTGTTCACATAACTATGCTCCCTAATCCGTCGCATTTGGAAGCAGTGAATCCTGTATCACAGGGTAAAACCAGAGCAAAGCAAATGATGGCTAAAGAAGGAGATTATGGAAAAGGAGATAATAGTTTAGGAGAGAAAATTATAAATGTGCAAGTAAAAAATTCATTACACTGTGTGACTTTAAACACTTTCCCATGAAAAAAGGCTTAATTTAAAAAGGCTATTTTTTAGGTACACGGAGATGCTGCATTTGCAGGGCAAGGCGTGAATCAAGAAACGTTGCTCATTGCAGGTTTGCCTCATTACAATACGGGGGGAACGATTCATCTAATTGTGAATAATCAAATGGGATTTACGACTCCTTCGGACAGAGGAAGACCTACCATTTATGCATCCGACTTAGCAAAAATGATTTCAGCCCCCGTTTTTCACGTCAACGGCGATTTCCCCGAAGAAGTTGCCCGAGTAACCGAATTAGCAATGGAATATCAAAGAAAATTCAGAAAAGATGTTTTTATTGACATGAATTGTTACAGACAATGGGGGCATAACGAATTAGACGATCCAACCTTTACTAATCCTGCCGTTTATAAAATAATTCACAGTCGAAAAACCGTGCCAGACTCATATTGTGATAAATTAATAAGTCGGAATGCCGTAACGTCGGATTTTGTTGCCAATATTAAAAAAGAATACTACAACAAGTTAAATGAAGACTTGAAAAACGATAAATACGTACCAGAACAGAGTTATTTTGGGAAACAGTGGTCTACGATGACTCAAGGAGGTCGAAATATGACGACATGGGACACGGGATTGGATACCAACATTTTAAGGCATATTGGTATTAAATCCGTAGAGTATCCCGCTCATTTTAATGCACATAAGCATTTAGCAAAAACTCATATAAAAAATAGGATTAAAAAAATGAATGACCCAAACCCGAGAATTGATTGGGCAACAGCAGAATGTATGGCGTTTGGATCACTTTTGTATCAAGGAATGAATGTGAGAATTAGTGGTCAAGATGTTGGTAGAGGTAATAACAAAGAGTAATGGCTTATATTGCCGAACAATAAGAATTCTGGCTTAGATAAGTTTACTTTCAGGTACTTTTTCACATAGACACGCAATGCTTGTGGATCAAGAAACTAATGATATGTATATACCCTTAAACCACATGAGTGAAAATCAGTTGGGAAAATTAGAGGTAGCCAACAGTCCTTTATCGGAGGAAGCTGTTTTGGGGTAGGTAAATAAGTTTATTTTTTAAGTCGTTCACACAATCACACAATAAAAAAGCTACAATATACATATTTTTTTAGATTTGAATATGGAATGAGTATAGAGAATCCAAACAATTTAATAATTTGGGAAGCTCAATTCGGTGATTTTTTTAACGGAGCTCAAATCATGATCGATACGTTTATAGCAAGTGGAGAAACAAAGTGGATGAAATGCACAGGAATTGTAATGCTGTTACCACATGGATACGATGGCGCCGGACCAGAACACAGCTCGTGCAGAATAGAAAGATTTTTACAATTAACGGATTCTAAGGAATCGGAACCTGATGGTGACGATATAAATTTACAAGTGATTTTCCCAACAACTCCCGCTCAATATTTTCATTTGTTAAGACGTCAAATGATAAGAAACTATCGTAAACCGTTAATAGTGATCTCACCGAAAACTTTGCTCCGTCTATCTGAAGCTACCTCTTCTTTTACGGAATTTAGCCCTGGAACTAGTTTTCAAAACGTAATTCCAGATGATTCCGTCAAAGAAGACCTTGTAAGAAAAGTAATATTTACATCGGGAAAACATTACTATAACTTGATCAAAAAAAGAAATGAAAAAAATATAAATGACACTGCAATTATCAGAGTAGAGTCTTTGTGTCCATTTCCAACGTTTGAATTACAAAAGCTAGCAGATAAGTTTCGAAAAGCACAAAATTTCATATGGTGTCAAGAAGAACCCAGAAATATGGGAGCTTGGACTTTTGTAAAAACAAGATTTGAAAACTTAGTCGGAATACCTATTAAATATGTAGGACCTGAAGAAATTGCAGCACCAGCATTAGTGGGCCAAGAACACTACAAAGTACAAAATAAAATATTCGATGATGTTTTTTAACACTACAAATATGTCACTTACAATTATACTATTATAATTAATAACTTCATTAATTATATGTTACTTTAATATTAAAAGGACATTCAATTGATTTAGTTAGAAAAAAAATTATATAAAATATTTTCAACTTACTTGATTCCAGCTATGCATCTCAGTGCAGAATATAGCCTTAAAAATGCAGAAGCCTGAACTACATATGCATCAGGAAGCACGGAATCCAAAGACTTTTGAATAATATTTTGTAGTTGCTTTAAAAGCTCACCTCTCAGCAATTGTAAAGCTGTATATGACTCACCCTTTCTCTTTAAAAATAAAACTTAAATTAAATTAAATCCATCTCTAAAACTTATTTTACTTTAAAAACCAAAAAAACTAACCTTTTGACCATTTCTAATAAAAATAGCAAACCAATTTCTAACAGCTTGATCGCTACCTAAAAGTAAACCAGAAACAAAAGCTACCATGTCTCCGACACCTCCAGATTCTAAACTAAGTAATATGGCCAAAGCAGGCATTCTGCAAAGTTCAATCTGAAATTTACATTTTGTAATTAAAAAAAAAAAAAAAAAACAAAATAAAATTTGACTAAATTTATCAATTTAAATTATACTTACACATTTGGCTCTAATCATTAAAGCTTGAGATGGATTCATTTGAGAAAGCATTCTTAAGGTTTTATTTCTAATTTTTCCTCCTGTGCTTTCTTCATCTTGTCTTTCTCCATTAGCAATTAAAGCTGTACAAACTAAAATTAAAATATATTAAAAGAAAATTTAATTGTATTTATTTATTTAGTATTTTGAATCAGTTTACTTTTAATTAAAGGCAAAAATGAATTACCTTCCCAAAAGTAATCAGGAGCATTTGCCAGAATCCAACAAATGACGGCAGGACCAAATTTAACGTGTAATAATGTTTCTACAACATCTTGTATTGTAAGGAGAGCTGGTAATTCTGCTAAAGCAATGCACAAAACATCACACACTTCTTCAAGATAAACTGCATTGTCAAATAAATCAGATTGCTTAATATAAGTTTCATTATGTTGACAAATCTATAATAAATACAAACTATTAAATTTATTCGAATAAAAAAAAGCAAAATTAACAATAATATAAAATTATTACTTGAGCTGCTATACCAAGAATTTCACTAAGAACCAATCTTAATCTTCTAGTAGAATCACTTCTTTCAAATTCCAATGCTATTCCATTTTGAACTGAATGAATTAATATACCCTCAGATTGTGTGCCATGTTTCTGTCTAAATAAATAAAAAAATTAAGTTTCATTTCACCAAAATATTGTCATTTTTTTAAGAAAATTTATTTTAATCGTAATTAAAAATTTCGATTAAGTATAAAAAAAATAACCTCATTTGCTGTTCCTTTTTTACATCAACTTCTAAAGCGTGAAAGTCTATTGAAAGTAACGCTACTATAGAATTAACATGCTCAATGCCTGTCAATAATTTTAATAATTCTTTTCGTCCTTCCGAACATTCTTTAGTAGAATCTAATGGAGATATTAAACTCATCCTAACCAAACAAGGTAAAACCGGCCTTATTTCTCTATGTGAGCATTTAGAAAGTTCTTTAATATTAACCATTTGAAGAGCATGAAATACGCGAGGAGAAACGGGATAATTAAAATCCATTTTTTTTTTTTAAATGAAGCTTTTTAAATAATATTAATATTTAATAATTCACAACTCGACTAGACCTTCAAACTTACTTCTTATAACAACAAATACATTGCGCATGCGCCAAAATTCAAAATGAAAAACGATAAATTGGTGGTAGGCCCTATAATTTTAAAAGTGAATTTTTAATCTTTTTTCTTTTAATTAATAATGCATAATCCATGTCGTGCTAAATTCAATTTAAATATTTAAAAGTTTTGCAATAAACGTATCATACATTTATACTTTATAGCTTTTGGGATTTAAAATAGATTTGACAAAGACAATCAAAGTAATCTAGTAAAGGAAAAAATTTTAATGCACGAGTCCAAATTGAATAAATTCATTTTTTTTTTTTTTTGAAAAGCTTAAATTCATGAAATTAAAAATTGAAATAAGACTTTTTTTATATTTTAATAATGTAAAAATTATAATAAATATAAGTTGTATTTTAAAAAAACGAAAGTAGGCAAACACAGGTGAAGTAGAAATCAGATAAAATTTTTTTCTCGAATAGCAATTTATACAAAAAAGTTTTTGAATAATTGATTGTTTTCACTTTAAAATAAAAAAATTTGTTTTTTTTTTAAGAAGTAAACATATCACAATATTATTTTCCACCCTTCTCTTTATCAAATGATTGTTTTAAAGAAAATCCAGCACCTGTAAATGCTTTGAAATCTTCATTTGGGTCTTGATTTTCTTTAATACTTTGTGGCGGTTTAGAATTTCTAATAAATTTAAGTGTTCCAACTTTGTAATTGTAATCTGGAATCCCTCTAGAATAAGTTGTTTTTACAGTTGAAGTTTCTTGAGCTACAGCATCTTTTCTTTTTTTCCCATCTAAACGATTACCTGCACCTTTAAAGGCAACAAAACCGCATGATTCAGGTGCAAACATTTCCTCATCAACAGCCATTTTTTCTGGTTCGCTTTCCAATTGATTTGGCTCTTTGTAACCAACTGGAGGAGCAAAATCAACCTACAAAAAATTAAATTTTTTTCGTTAAATTTTAAGAAGATTTAAACCCCAAAAAAAAATTATTCAAAGAATAATAGTAATATCATAAAATAAAATAAAAATACAAAATAAAATACTAGAGTTAAGTATAAGTGTTTAACTGTTCTATTTTTATTATTTAAAAAAAAAATGCCATTGCAGTTCTTACATTCATATCACATTCAATTATAGTGACTGCCTCTCCTGGTTTTGTTTCTAACACACATAATTCATAAACTTTTGAATTATATTTTATAGCTATAATGTCACCAGTAGTTAAACAAGCAAATGATCTTAAACAATTTTCTAAAACAGCTTTAGGATTACTTATATCTAAAAAGTCTTCTGTTTGAGGCTGAAATCTTGAAAATGTTGCAACTGGTAATGTAACATTTTCTATGTGTATTAAATCACCTTCCTCCAGCAATAAATTCCTCATCATCTGTAAGAAAACAATTTACTTTTACTTCTGTAAAAAACAATACAAAATATACAGTTCAAATTTATTACAAAACATTATTATAAACCTAGGTCAGATACAACATCAAAACCTAGAATACTAATAGTAACTATTTTATATTAATAAAATTGAAATATTTATTTTGTATTACCCAATAGGGCAAATAAACTCTATCTTCATCAGCCACAAATTCCAACACTCCACTATGTGTTACTCTAGACATTTTTTTATTTGTCAACTTAAACAACATTGGATAAATTATATTAAGTTTGGTGAGTGCATCTAAGGCTGAAGGAGGCATTATAATTTTTCCTCCTCTTTCCACATCTTCTCTATCATTCCCAGGTAGCATAGAAACTGAATAACACCTATACTGAACAATGAAAGACCTGGGAATTTCAGGGAATGCATTAAAAGAAAACTGTAAATAAAATTTCAATTACACAATTGAATAGACAATAAAATATTAATAAAAACAAATAGTTTATAATAAAAATAAATAAAAAAATACCATGATTTTTAAATTATTGTTGTATTATAAAATGTATAACGTGTGCAAAAAGTATAAATAAGGAAAATTTTCTAATTAAAAAAAAAAAAAAATTTTACTTCATTATTATGACTTTACTACATTTCATCCATATCATTATTAAAAATGTTTTCTGCTAAATATATATATACTCTATGGAAATTTAAATTTTATATAGCGGGAAATTTTAATAACCTACTATAATAATTTCTTTTGTTATAAAATTTTATTTGAAATTTTTTTTTTGCATAAGGGTTTGCTTTTTAGAATTATACAAAATACACCTTTTACATAATGATTAACTCATACTGTAATATAAAAAAAGACATTTTTTAATAATTTATTTCGGATAACTGACAAATGTTGCAAATAGAAAGCCACTACATTAATAATTACCTTCATCTTTATATTACCCGCATTATGATAAATTTTAGAAATTAAAATATAGTTAGTTTCTTTTTAAAACTTGTTCAAATTATTTCTATCGAAAAAAAAAAAATGTTTTTAAGAATCTTTTTGACATTTATAATTAGCCTTACTTTTTTAAAATGTAACGGTTTTTCTGAGATGACAACAGAAATTTACGAGTAAGTTTTTTTTTTTGGTAAAATAATTTAATAATTTATTTAGTCAGTCATAAGTTAATCTTAAAATAAAAATATATAATTATTTACCAATGCATCAATACGATTGTTAAATTTTTTCAAAAAAATAAAATAGTGAAATAGTTGATAACGTGGAAGTAGACAAAATTGCTGAGGAGCCAACAACAGAAATAACGGATTTATCATGGGTTTCACACAACACACTAATTAATAACTCTTCACAAAATGATACAATTCAAACAAACTCAACAACAACAATTTTGGAAAATACTCAAAAAAATTCTACCACAAAATTTCAACAGGTAAAAAACATAATAATTAAAAATAAAAAAGAACAAAAATATTAAAAATTAATAACTTTTAGAACGATGAGATCCATAATGAAATAAATCAAGAAAATTTAATAAATAATGAGAATTTAAAAAATAATTTTACAAATCTTTTTCCGACATCAATGATGAACGAAAAAATAGTATTGTCGAGATATCATTGTAATTTAGAAATTTCAACGGATGAAACACAAGAAATTAAAATTCAAATAAAATTCGAATCATTTTCAATAAATAACACAAATGGAAAATGTTGGATTACATTAAACGGTCGTAGAAATTCCAAACTTGCAGTTTTTATTTCTAATATTTTTTTTAGTAGTGATAATGAAATCATAAAAGTTATTTCAACATCTTCTGGAGTAGATTATGTTTTGAAAGAGTAAGTTATCATTATTTTTTTAAATAATTCGAATAACCTTTTAACTCATTTTTTTAATAATAGGTACGTGGGATATCAAAACAATCTGCCATTACTACTCACAGAAACTAATAAAGTTTTCATAGTTTTACAATACAATACAACATTTATTCCACTTAACCGGAAATACACACAATTCGATTTGGAAGTTTTTCAATACGGAAGTAATGATAATACTATAAATTATTATAATAATTATAAAAACGATCATTATTATTTTTCCCGAAAAACAGGAATAAACATAGATAATATTTTCTTTACTACAGAAAACCCCCCCAAATTTTAAATAATTTAATTGTATAAATAAATGTTGGAATAATTTATTTTAATATATATATATAAATTTTAATTATAAATAAAATTATTATGAAAAAAAAAATAACAACAATAAGTAACTTTACTTTGAAAGCACAATAATATAACTACAACTAGAAAATAAAAAATCACAGAACTACTCTTTCTCTATCTCTCTCTCTCTCAGCGACATAAAAATCTTAATAAATTTTTATATTTTCCTTTGTGATATTAATAATGTGTGTGTGTGCGTGGCTTAAAATAAATTAAAAATATTAAATGCGTTTTTACAATACTCCTTTTAAATATTATTTTATTTCATGGGGGACAAATTTTTTTTTATTTAAGCCAATTTTGAATTTTATTTTTGGAAAGTTTTTTCCCTTCGTATAGCATTTCGGCAAATTTTGCGGCTAGTGGATCGCGACCTATTGTAGTCACTGCAAGGACATTATTTCCCGAACAATAAAATGCAATAAATTTAAAATCTTCGACATTTCCATCGATTACTACATCGTCGTAACTACTTGCGTATCCTGAGAATAAAAATATTTTACGAAATAATTTTATAATGAGGAAAAACTTTCACGCGCTTTTCCGAATCCTCAAACGATTTGAATTACCTGCATAACGAAAACCTTTTCCGTATAACATCGTCCAGAAAAAGGGAACCGCATTCAACGGTTTTTTTTTCTCCAACATGTTTAATGCGGCTATGTGACCGTGATAATTAGCAAGTCCCCAGTGGCCTATATTTGCTTTTTGCCCTAATACGGGAGCTATTGCAATATCACCACCAGCATAAACGTCAGAATATTGCGATTGCAAATACTAAAATGTAATTAGTTTAGTTATTAGAGTTTTAAAATTTAAATTATATAATTTATATTTTTACCTCGTTCACATCGATCGCGTTATTTTTTCCAAGTTTCATAGTTTCAGGTTTTAAATAATCGGTATTGGATGTGACACCTATTCCGATGATACAAATATCGCATTCTAACTTGGAACCATCGCTCAATTCGATACCCGTTAACGTTCCATTTTCTCCCTCAAACTTTTCAATGGTTTGATTCAATCGGAAGGTCACTTTGTTATCCTGAAAAAAAAATCAAAACATAATTTTTTGAGAAAATAAAAAAAAATAATAATAATTCAAAAAATGAAAAAATTTCATACCTCAAACAATCTCATGACTCTGTCGCCGATAACTTCACCCAAAGACATCTTAAAAGGTTTATTTCTTCCTACAACAACAACTGATTTCGCTTTGCCCGAACAAAAAGCTGCAGCTTCCATACCTGAAACATAATTCCGTTTAATGTTAACTACACTAAAAAAAATGGCGGAGAAGAAAAGGGAAAAGCGTTCTACCTATAAAAGACGTTCCTAAAATTACAACTTTGGAATCTTTCGTTAAAACTTTCATTATTTCTTTTCCATCGTCGATGGTTCTTATGACGAAAATATTTTTTAAATGGCTACCGGTCGTGCAGAGTTTTCTCGGTCTGAAAACGCGAGTCGTAAATATTAATAATAATAATAACATCATCAATAAATATTAAATTAACGTACGTCGAACCCGTCGCTAAAAATATTTTATCATATTGTATTTGTTGACCGTTGCTCAGTGTGGCCAACTTTCCCCTCGGATTCAATTCCGTCAATTGAGTGTTCATCATAAGCTCAATGTTACGTTCGCGATAAAATTCGGCCGAACGTAAAAGAATTTTTTCCGCGTCGACGTCCAAAGATTTACTTATTTTGATTCTGTCGTAGGGCAAATAATTTTCACCGATGACAAAAATGATTCTTCCTTCGAAACCTTCCTGCCGGAGTGTTTCGACACAATTAGCACCCGCTGCCCCTTAAAATTTAATACGTTTATTTATTTATTTATTCTGGATGCACGAGATGCGTAATAAATGTACATTAGTTTGGTCTTTACCTCCTCCGGCAACCATAAACGTTAAAGTTTTAGCTTTGAGCGTCCTTACAAACGGTTTAACACGTTTATTAGCCTGAAGTAATTGTTTGTCGGCTCGGACCTTCACGTTACCTTCTTCGCTCACTTCGACTTCATAACACGGTAAACTATCTAGGCCAGGAAAGTCCTCAATGTCCCCTAAAATTAAAGTTATTATAATTAATGTTTTTTTTTTTTTTCGACTCCATACAAAACAATTAAAACCTAATTTGAAATCAATTGAAAAAATAAATAAATAAATTTACCGTTGGCAATATTGAAACAGGCTCCGTGCCACTGACATCTTACTCGTCCATCACCCAAAACTCCATTAACGAGGGGAGCACCGTAGTGAGTACATTTAGTACCCAAAGCTGATATTTTTCCATTTTGTTTTACGAGCAATACTTTTCCTCCATCTTCTCCACCTACATCAACTACTTTCATTCTAAAGGGACAAGGAAAAAACAAATGATGACGTCACGAAATATCGTAATCGAAAGCAACTAAATTTTTCCTCACCCATTTTCCTCGATTTCATTTTCTTGGCACACGATTTCTTCGATGATTTCGCTTCCTAAATTAATTACAAAGAAAACAATTAGGAAAATGGAAAAACGTTAAAAAAGAAAAATTTTTTTTTCTAATTTAAAAAATTCAAAAACAATACAATAAAGAAGCAGAAACAATTAAAAAAAGAAGCAACAATTAAACTAAAAAAAAAAAAAAAAAAAAAAAAAAATAAAAAAAAAAAAAAAAAACCTAAAGCCCAAAACCTCCTACAACACCGTTAAGGAAAAATTTAGGAAAAAAAAAAATACCAAAAATTTTTTTTTATTTTTATTTTCCCGGGTATTTAATATAATGGAGGAAAGAAAATAATAATTAATAATTTTAAAAAAGTTTTTATGCACAAAAAAAACAGATCTCCACGAAAGCTCTGCAAAAAAATCCTAAATTCAAAAACTTTGAAAAAAAAGAAAAAAAAAAAAAAACAAAAAATTAACTTTTTTTTTTTTTGGCAACATTAAATTAGGGACAGGAAGTTAAATTATTTTTTCTATAAAAAACAAAAAAGTTAACAAACTATCAAGGTTATAACCAGACAGACATTAAAAAACATATTTCAAACAAACAAACAAAAAAAAATTGTAATCTTTACCTTTTTTTTTGTTTTTTTTTTGGGGGGGGAGGGAATCAAACAGTAAAAAGCAAATTTGTTACATAAACATAAATTTTACATTAAGAAAATGTTTGTGAGAGGCGACCTGCATATGTCTTTCAATATTTTTTTTTTTTTAAGGTACGCCATCTCAGATCTCAGGTTAACAATAAAATTAATTTATTTGAATCCATTACTATTATTATTATTATTATTATTATTAGTTTTTAAAAAAATGAAAAAATTTAACATGCAATACTTGGCACGGTTGAATCACTGCAACTGAATGTAGCTTGCTCTAAAAAAGGATTAGGATTTTTGCGAGTAACTGATTTCGTGGGACTGTATTTCCTGCCTTTAGATATAGACGAACCCATTTTTATTTGTATATGAATGTTCCTCGAAGAGATAAATGGATTATGATGATGATGATGATGGTAAATCCTATTCCCGTTCCTTATAAGAGCACCTTAACAAATACACAACAACATTATTATTATTATTATTTTTCTTAAGTAATGTTATTGAAATAGAAATGGGAGGGGGGGGGATGGAGGGAATTTGGCAAGGGAAAAAGAATTGATTTATAAACCTTGATTGTTTAAATATAAATTTTCACCGTGACAAAAAATAATGCATATTAATAAAAATAAGTAAAAATAAATAATAATTAATTTTAAAAAAAAACTATTATGTACTTTTCCATATTGAATTTGTCTTTGTGTTTTTCACAATAAACATATTGAGTATTTAAAAAGTATACAAATTACATAGGAGAAAACTTAAAAACAAAAAAAAATTATGTTTACTTACAAAATAAAAAAATTATCAATCTGATTTAAAATAATTAATAACAATAAAAACTGAATAATAATAATATATATTTAAAAAAAAAAATTGATAACGTTTAACCACAAGTCTCATAGTTATTACATGTCACGCTTTAATGTGGTTGATAAAAAAAAAATAAAAATTTGCGACACACATAAAAAAAAAAAAAATAAATAACCTTGTGAAATATATGACTGTGTGAAAGTAAAAAAAACAGGTGGGAATATTTTACTATACTATGTTATTTCTCAAACATATAAATAACCCTGAAAGAGTGAGTGGAAATTAACCCTGAAAATTTTAATTGGATTTTTTTTTAAAAAAAAAAAAATTTTAACCCACACACATAAAAAAAAAACAACCAATTTTTAGGTCTAGGTTTATATTGATTTTAGGTAATAGATTATATTTATTTTTGTTAATAATAATTATTCAAATACCTTTACACTATCATTTATCTTTAATAATTTTTTTAAAATACAATTTCTGTTCGATAAAATTTTATCGTAAAATGAATTTCCATTGTTTTACACATTTTAATAGGCTGAAATTTTTAATACATATTCTCGATTAGTTTCTATTTAAAATAAACACATTCGACTAAAATTTAAATATAATTATGATGTAGTGTTTGCAAATTTATAATTACAATGCAAACTTAAACAAAATAAAAGTTATTTTTAAAATCACAATTACTGAGTTTTTTTTTCGAAAAAATTACTTAAAAATTATGCAAAAAAAAAAAAAAAATGGCTTAAATTGATTCATTATTAGTTAAAATTTAACTATATAATTTATTCTCATCTAAAAAAAAACCTTAAATTTATTCTTGTCATTGTAAATTGTGAATTAAATAAAAACTTACTAGATAGTACCTAAAGTACCTAATTCAACAAATACTTTCGATACAAAAAATTAAACCTCTTTTGAAGCTTTGTAATACCTAAATGATGAAAACTATTCAAGTGGGACAAAAAATATATAATTGTTTAATTATTACTCTTAAAAGTCATCAATGTTTTCGGCAATTAATTTTAATGACATTAATAATGCTGCAAGACAAATAATAATGATATTAATATTAAAAACAATTAGAAACAATCATCATTTGTAGGAATCATTATTATCACTTGAAAGAATTCCATAAAATTGTTGGAATTATTCATATCAGCAGGAAAACCTCTAAAGTCAAGGAAGCAGAAAATGACTGAAATGTTGGGAAATTAAAAATAGGAATAGAAAAAAAATGAAAGCAAAAGTATAAATAATTTTAACTGTCGTCAAAGTACTGGAAATAATACAATAAAGTAAAGCAATTTAAAAGAAATCGGTATGAGTACCGCGAGAGGTGGTTTTCGTATTTGAAAAATTTTATAAAAGCCCCCGCAAATGAATGTCAAAAAATGAATGTATAAAAATAACCGACTGAAAACCGTACTCAACTTGTTTTATTTTTAAATAAAAATTAAATCAATCCCAACAACAATTAAAAAAATATTTATACAGTGAGAAAATTGTCAGTCATTAAAATTAACCAAACAATAAAATTAATATGTTAAACAATACATTTATAGATTTTGTTTTATTAATACATAAAATTTTAATTAATAAACTAATATTATATCATACCTGTCGAAAATACTTTTTGCGAATTTATTAACCTGCGACTAAAATGTTTAACTTTTAATTAGGTATAAAATACCTATTAATCTTTCCCCAAAGAAAAAAATTTCAACTCACAAACAACGAATCCAATTATTTTTTAATATGCACTTCATTTCACTTATTTAATAACTAAGAAAAAAAGTCAATTTTTATTATTACCATTAATAAAAAAAAAAACTGTTTATGTCAAAAGAAAGATAATGTCTGACAGGGCATCCAACCATTGAATTTTTATATTTTTTAGATTTAATAAAAACATGGTTAACGTTTCTTCTGATTCTGAAGATGAGAAAAAAAAATTTGAAGAAGCTCTTGATATAAATTTTTTTAGCAATAATCTTTACAAAAAAGGTTAGTATTTTTTTGTTTGACTATTAAAACCAATTACACATATGTTATACGTAATTTTATA